GTTATGTGACAGCATTAATTAAAGTTTCTTAAGGGTCAAGATCAATTTATCTGTGTCTCCTGCGCTCCATCAAGGCACTCCCATAATAGCTGTCAGCACTCAGATTAATGCACAACTCAGATTAACTGTAGGCTGTAGCATGCATAAGACTCTAATACAATTATAAAGTAATTATTTTTATCATGAATAAATCTTTCAATGAGTAAAACTGCCTATGTTTATAGTATTATTTGATTACACTTAATTACACTTGAAAATAATATCATTAATGTTGATTACACAACATTATAATATTATTTTCAAATTAATTTTTTTATTATTATTATTTAAAATTATTGTCCCCGGATTAGTTGGGTACTCTTGTAATAAAGTAGCAGTGGCTGGGACAGATTTTAAATATCAATTCCACTTAAAAAATGCAATCTGATCCTGCTTACATGAAATAAGCCTGCTCCTGAGCAGGTTCAAGCTTATGGACCTGTTGCTATGACAGCAAGTCCAGGATGAGCTTCGAAGAACCAAATAATCCAATTTCATGCCAAATTGTCAACAATCAAATCCAGCTAACTGAGTAAACGTGCAAAACATGGCAACATGACCTGTGCAGCATAACTGCTGATAATGAATAGACTCTGTGTAAGCTTTAATGATGTTGTGCCTGTATAGGTCAAGCTGTGATGTTTTCTCCACGGACTAACATTGTGTGCCTGTGACTGTTTTCTGTCTGCAGAGCCACAGCTAAAAGGCATCGTCACCCGTCTGTACAGTCAGCACGGACACTACCTGCAGATGCTGCCGGATGGCACCATGGACGGCACAAGGGACGAGAACAGCTGCTTCTGTAAGCGTGTGTCCTTTCTCACTCATTATTCACGCCTGACAGGCACAGTGTGACCTCTGGTTGGTCAGTTGTAGAAACTATTGAGGTGTATCTGTTGTGTCCGTGCCAGTGACCACTAGACGGACATAAAATGAACTTCTGATGTTCATGTCGTTAATTTCTTCAGTCTCACAGTCTCCTCACGCACATGTTCTGTCTGTCTGTGTGTTGTAATTAATTTGAGAGCCCAGTGTTGGCATATGTCCGGTATGTCAGGCCTAAGGCCAGGTGTGTAACACTTGGCCCATGGTCACTGGTGCCACTCTGGGGATTCACACTCAGCGACATGATTGAAGATGCCGTAGCATTAATATTTGTCTGGACTAGAATTAAGGGGCCGAGCCAAAGCAGGTAATTAGAAGAGGATGTTCACGTATTCTTGGCCATGTTGTGTTTTTTTT